TTTTAGTTTCCTCTGTCTTTGTTGGTATTTTTCCCAGTCCTGTGTGCCATCTAGTGATGTAAAAAAAGCCTGTAGACATCAAAAAGTGTTGGGTGCGGCTCTGAATCATCACCCATTCTTTTGAGTTTTGTTTAAGTGTAACGGTTGAAAGTTTATTTATCCTTCTCACTGGTCTGTCACGTGCTTGACCAATTTTTCTAGAGCGTGCCGAGTCTGCAAGGGTTGAGGAAAATTCTGACTCTCGTTCATCTGCGAAAATACACCTGTGCTTGTTCTCGTCAGATGGACTCAGTCTACTGTGAACGTTACGGTTATAGTTTTTACCAAAGAAATCTAGTACCAAAAACCTCGTTGCCTAGATGTTTTAAACTTCATTGATGGTAACATGCTTGACATTTCTGAATAATAAGTTATGAAGAGTCAATTTGGCAAAAAAATTTTTTCAGGAAGATTTCATTGGGGCAGTACATTTGCAGGGATAATGAAAATGAAAACTGTACCGTTGGATAGGGTTAATAAGTGTACTATGATTACAACTCATCGTTTTCACGCGGTCCGCATGGCGATATCGGCGTGTAGCGGCCCTTGTGCTGGAGGAGGAGGGAAGTGGAGAAAATTAAGTTAGCTTGTGGGCATTGGTCAGGGGTCAGGTACATGGAGTGTCAATTGCTATTATTTGCACGGACCAAACGACTGTCACTAGGGTGTGGGGGCGATGTGCGATCGCCACCTAGTGTCGGGGTCGACCACGGAATTAAAAGTGCTTGTGTTAGCGTCTTCTGACAACACAGCACTGGATTTGCTAGCCGTCTAGCCACTGCTTCGGGTGTTGTAAGCACCCGTTGGCTGGTGTCCGGTAGACAACCTGAAAGGATTCATTAATATTGACTCGGCAATACGTATCGACAAGGTGTGTGAGAATAGAACTCGAAATCGATATAGTTTCACCTTTACTTAACCAGGTCGGTATGTGCTCACGTACCCTCCTTTTCCAGGCGCCTCCTTATTCGGCCAATGTGTCCTGCTCCTCAGGAGCAAGCGGAAGAGTAGATGTACATGAACGTAGCCTTCAACGGGAGTCGATATTTATCCCCCCAAGCGTAGGAGGCGAGTTGTACTCAAAGTAGACTTATTAACCCTGTCCAACTGCACACTTTTCATTTTTGTTATCCCTGCAAATGTTCTGGCCTTATGAAGAGTTGCTGAAAGCATATTTTTGCTAAATCGACGTTTCAAATTAAACATGGGAATATTTGCAGAGAGTAGGTTATGATTCAGCATGACAATTGCTAGAATAAGTATTTTGCTAATTTATTTGTCAGCATAATTCAACAGTACATATGACTACCTTTTCTTCCAAGCAAACGACTTGGTGCATCTATTTGCACATTTAAATACAACAGTTCAGACAACTGTAAGCAATCCTACTTTCTGCTTTCTTTAATCTTCAAGGAAATAAATCCGTCGGAGCAAACCCCTTTCGGACTCGGTCCGACAGTTGAACCTAAATCCAGAAGTAACTGTGTAACTCTATCACTAATATACGCTACAAAATTATTTACCACACTGATAGCACAGGCATTAGCCGCATCATGCAGCCACCTAAAATCGATGAATCTGGACAGAAATAAGATTTGACAATATTATCATACTTTACTTGAGAAGTCTACTTGGCAAACATACGTTTTCGGCCATTCGTCATCAGGCTTGTACAATTGCATTGACAATGAGAACATGAGAGTTGCACAGGGTTTATAAGTTTCTTACAATTAAAATACACCTTTTCCAAACCTTGTTAGGACGGCACAGAACAGGAGTTAACACTCGTGTCGTCCTCGAGTTAGGATAACAAACAGAGAACACGCGATAGCGCCGTCGCATAAAGGAGCAGGGCGGACATCACGCGAGGACGCAAACAGTTATACGTAAGCGTGATGCGTTCGCGTGATGCGTTCGCGTGATGCAGCCACCGGGCTGTCACACTGAGGTCGCCGCACAGTGGCTGCCTCCATGGGCCACTAGCAGAGGGGCCAGTAGGGAACAAAGACGGCTGGTCCTTAAATAGCGAGGCTGCGAACAGAAGACAGAGTATATGTACAAGCAAAAACAGTGACAGTAAACA